CATTTACATTTCAGTTGTAGTACTCGCATCTTGGTAGTTTTGAAAAACTACCTTAAAAGTTTTTTAAAATGTCATTTTTATAAGACAAATGTTTATTGTGAATTATCTCTGATAAACAAATACTTTCATGTCCACTCTGACACTATGTGTGTGTGGTTGCCCAGACGTTTAGACAGTTCAAATAAAAGTAACTTCGTGTTTTCGGGCAATGTAAAAAATAGTGACCATTGAATAATATCATAGACAATTTGGACAATAAATGTATATTTTCATCTTGATCATTTTGATTTTTTCTGCCAACTTCAGCGAAATTAAATCCATTTAAATGTATAACAGGACTTATCTTGGAGGACTTTACAACGATGAGATAATCAAATAGATTAAACACAGGAATTGTATTATAAAAACACATAAAGCCATTGGAGTGAATGACAAATGGTCCATAAATATCAATAAATGTCCATATACTGTATGTCATAAATTGTTCCAGTTCATCTCAGACAGGTAGATAAGAAAAGATAAGACTTTATTGATCTCACACAGGAGAAATGTCACATTTGGCATGGATAGAATCACTCAGATTTGTGCTAAAGAAAGAAGTGTGCAAACAGGTTGAAGGCAAAAAATATATAGTCTGTGGAGGATATATTGTGTGGCAATTAAAGAAACAGTGGCAATAGTAGTGCAAGTTTGTAGTCCTAGTGCAAATGACTTAAAGTGACTTATTGTACAGTCTGACAGCGGTGGGGATAAAGGCCCTGCGGTAGCGCTCCTTCCTACACTGAGGGTGTCTCAGTCTTCCACTGAAGGAGCTCCTCAGCTCCTCTACAGTCCTGTGCAGTGGGTGGGAGGTGTTGTTCATTATGGAGGTGACTTTGTCTAGCACCCTCCTGTCCCTCACCTCCTCCACAGAGTCCAGGGAGCAGCCCAGAGTGGAGCTGGCCCTCCTGACCAGCTTGTTCAGTCTACTCCTGTCCCGCTCTGTGCTGCCCGGGCCTGACACACGGCGGCGTAGTATATGGCAGACGCTACCACAGAGTCATAAAAAGTCCTGAGCAGAGGCCTGCTCACTCCGAAGGACCTCAGCCTCCTCAGAAGGAAGAGGCGACTTTGGCCCTTCTTGTACAGGTGTTAGTGTTATGGGACCAGTCCAGTTTATTGATAATGTGAACACCCAGGTACTTGAAGCTGTCCACCAGCTCAATGTCCTCCCCCTGGATGTTCAGCAGCGTGTGGGAAAGTGGTTTTCTCCTGAAGTCGATTATCAGCTCCTTGGTCTTACTGGTGTTCAAGCCCAAGTGGTTGCGCTCACACCAGTTGACAAAGTCCTTGATAACCGACCGATATTCCAGTTTGTTCCCCTCAGACACACAGCTCACGATGGCAGAGTCGTCGGAGAACTTCTGCACGTGGCAGCTGCGTGTATTGTATGTGAAGTCCGAAGAGTAGATGGTGAAGAGAAACGGTGAGAGGACAGTGCCCTGGGGGGCCCCAGTACTGCAGACTACCACCTCAGACTCACAGCTGCGCAGCCGCTAGTATAGAGTCAATTAATTGTGCAGACACCAAAAAAAAAAACAGATCAAGACGTTTTCCGTGGCAGGTGCTTCAAAAGAAGTGGCAGAGAACAGCTCAGTGATGACAACAAGAACCACAGACAAGGCTCTCGTACAGAGCAAAGTGATGGACAGGAACTCATCCTATCTCATCCTAAATTTAATCAAACCACTTTTACATTCCCATCCCCGTGGAGCGTCCCATAGAGGAATATAGGCACTAACACGCTTCACGTGTCCTGTTCCTGACACCTGTACATTGGCTGTGCACCACCTCCATGTGATGGGGCCCCAGTTGCTTGCAGCGGGCCATTACATCCTCTAATTATGGAGGCAGCCTGCTATAAGTCAACAGGGGCTGGGAATAACCATTGTGAGCCTCGGCACACACATACGCCCCCTGAGCAAACACTGCCATCCATTTTAATAAAGACGTCCCTTCTGGCTCACGGTAGGGAGGTGCACAGAACAATGGACTGATAGACACCATAAACATCGGAGTGCAATGGTGCTGAAGTCAAAGTCAATGAACAAAATAATATTGACAAAGATCTGGGGGTAGAGTTACAGTTGTGACATGCACCTTTTAGACTTATCTCTCATAAATGTTTTAGTCGTGGCTCACTATGACTCGATTGGTCACAGTAACAGTAATTATTCACCTTTTTTATTTTGAAAAATGTATTACCTGTATGCATTAAGAAAAACATAATTACGTATGGTTGTGTGTGAACATGCACATGAATACTGCATACTGGGTGTGTGCAAGATTTAACCGTGTGCTTACCAGCACAAGCAGGGTGTTGAGCTGATCTGTGGAGAAGTCAAATCATGTGCAGTTCATGCAAGGCTCCCAAAAGACTCTCGTTGCCATTGATGGTCAAGGGGGCAACATATGCTATTGAGACACAACTTTAGGATTGTGTTTTTATTGTTTTAATGTTGCCACAGTGCTGTATCCAGTGAGGAGTTTGTGTTGTGACTGTTAGTAAGCAAATATGTAGTAAGTAATGTTTATTTATATAGCACGTTTTTACAGACCATTGTCACCCAAAACGCCTTACAATGTTCAGAGTTCAGATATTTTGCATTCTCTCCACACACAGTGATGACAGAAGCGAGACGCCGAACACACTGGTGCTTCAAAGCCTCCAACCAACACCATCCATTCACTCACTCATTACATTCATACCTAGGAAAACCGAGGAAACCTACGCGGGCGCAGGGAGAACATGCATTGTCCACTCCAAAAGGCCCTGTTTCAACCATGATTCGAACCTTGTCTTGTTATGAACTTTTGTGTTCACATGTGTGTTACATTGCATTTCAACCCAAGATTAATTCAGCAGAGGCGGGCGGCCAGGTGGTTTCATGGCCAATTACAGGGATAAAAATGTTCTGCAAATCCACCGCATTACAACTTTGTACTACTGAAAACGTACATGTCAAAGGTGTCAATCAGTTGAGACATATTTGAGGTGGTAGGGGGGTTGGCGCAAGGTGAGGCTTGTGGTGGCACAAGCAGGTAGGACCGCTTATTGTCTGCTAAGACTGCTGGGTATGGGCGCATGTCTAACAATGCACACATCATCAGCAATCTTATCAGACAATATGTGTTAATGAGTTAGTCTCAGTATGTTACATCTCTGTGTATGTTATCACAAACTGCAATCTGATACGGAGGGTCAAACTGGGTAAGAGATTATATTTGGATTTGCTTTTGTGCACTGACCTCCTGAACTTTGCTGACTCTTTATAGGAGTGTATCTGGGGAGGCTGTTGGTTAAAGCAGTAATGACGCTATCCCACTGAGGAAAAGTTCAACAAACAACATTTGTAAAGGTCGTTGCTGCCGACTCACAAAAAGAGCTTGTCTCCGTTGGTTAAAGTGTTTGCCATACCATGCAAGACATTTTCTTGGCTTTTACTTGTTTTGTTGATTTTCTTGCTTAGCTGAAAATTTCCCCTTCTCATCAAACACCGCAGAAGCACACTTTGAGAACAAACTGGATATTGAATTGAACTTTCTAATAAAGGTGTCATAAGTTACTACAAGTGAAAAAAAAAATTACAGTCGCAAGCCTGAACGGCTCTCACCACACAGCGAAAATTAGGGGGCGCTGCCACGCCATTATTTGCTCCTGTAGCCATAAAAAATTTTTTGAAATTGTAAATGTTTGTAAATGTTTGATGGTTTGATGTTTGTACGAGGTGTACATTTTCCTTTGACACAGAATGGGGAGTGCTTGTCGTCGCCACGGCAACAGGGTAAAATATAATATATATCTTGGATGTCAGTGACTTTTTGAATCAAAAGGGGAAAAACCAAATTATGTGCACAATTTCAAACATTTAAAGTAAACCAAAAGTGATTATCCCCACGTAAAACTGACATAGTCTGTAGGGGGCGCTAATGGGCCAATTTAAATTATGTCACTTTCAAATGACCTAGATTCTAGAGTTGAACAATTGATAAAAGTTTTGTGTAAATGGGACTTGTATGTGCAAACGGGAGCTAATTTTCTCTCTTCAAAAATGGGGAAAAAAAGTCAAAATGGGGAAAAAAAGTCAGAGCGGCAAAGTCAGTTTGCCGCTCTGCTGCTCAAACAAACTGTAACTGATCAAAATTCCCTGAAGTCATTTTAATGGTACATGTGATTAGACGATGTGGAGCGATTTTGAGGCGAATCGGTGAAACGACCGAGGAGGAGTTGCTTTCCAACCGACATGTGTGAAAATGGACATGTTTCATTTTTCCATTTTCTAATTAAATTTATTGGTTTCCTGTTTATCAGGAAACATTATTGTCATGTCTTGACTTGAGGAACATGTGAACCAAATTTTGTGGCTCCACGACAAACTTGACCTCGGACCCTCTCCCATAGGCGCAATGTGTGTCAATGTGGTATCATTGACACACATTGCATTGTTCAATTAGCATGTATTGTCAGAAGGATTGAGCAAGGACACAGAGAGTTCCCAAGTCTGGTCCATGACCGCTCCTGAAGAATGAAGAAGTCTGCAAAAGTTTGCATAACTCCACCAAAGTCTGATTGTCACAGAGAAGGATGGCGCTTCTATATGTCTGAAATGCTGATGGAAACACAGAGACTTAGGAAACATGACGTGGCAGAATGAACACATAACGGTAAAGACCACGTGGACATAGGATGGCATAAACATATGGTTTTCAACCAATCTCCAACGTAAACAGTAGTATATATTTTTTATAATCAATGTTTTATTATTATTTTCAAGGAGAGTGCAGGGATGAGTACAGCTCACAAAAAAACACATCATGTACATGTTCTAGTAAAAAAAAAAAAAATTAAATAAAAAATAAACACAAATTTTCCAAGCAGTGTTGGAATACCACCTGATCACAGGGCCACAATGTTCATTATGATCATTATTGAAGCTTTTAGTAGCTTGAATGCGTACAATTTAATAGAACAGTACTGGGAAGAAGACCCACCCCCTACCACCCGCCCCCTGGGACCCGAACCCTCTGCCCCCACCCCCCGTCCCCCCCAATTCCCCCCCAATTCCCCCGTCCCCCCCAATTCCCCCCCAATTCCCCCCAACCACCCAGGCCCGGACCTTATGCAGTATGTTAGACATCAATATCTAGGTAGCAATAAGTAAGTAAGTAAGTAAGTAAGCTTTATTTATATACCGCCTTTCACAGACCAGAGTCACAAAGCGGTTTACAATTGTTATTTTTTTGGGCACTTGTCCTCTCACTCCACACAGAGATGGGAGCGGGGTCGCCGAACAGGAGGCGCATGCCAGACCTATTGTACATATTTTTAGTGGTAGGGGAAACCGGAGTACCCGGAGGAAACCTACGCAGACACGGGGAGAACATGCAAACTCCACTCAGAAAGGCCCTGGTCCGGCCGGGATTCGAACCCAGGACCTTCTTGCTGAGAGGCGAGAGTGCTATCCACTCAGCCACCGTGCTGAATAAGTTATTCCTTCTGCTATGAGAAGCCCTATACTAATTGCACAATGCTTGGATAATGGTGGAAAGTACTTTTTCCCAGTATTGTATGTTAGTTGGTTTTGCATGATGCATTTGTGAGACCCATTGTTCTAGTTTTACAATATCAATGAAGTCTCTAAGCCATTTTCTCGTGTTGACAAGCTGTGGTGTCTTCCATCAGCAAGCAAGTATAAGCTTAGCTGCTGTAAGACCAGCCAACCATACACGTTTTTCCATTATATTAAACCCGAGAGTGGAGCTATCATTGAGAAGTAAGACTTCGGGAGTGCAAGGGATATCCTTCAATAACAAATCGGATAATAGTTTTCAGACAGATATCCAGAAACTTTTAACCCCTGGGCAATCCCAAATGGAGAAAGGTCCCTAGTGTATTGTGATTGCAACGTGTACAGTCAGGAGAGGGAAGTGCCTTCATCTTGAATAAAGTACATGGAGTGAAATATGTCCTGTGTATAAAGTTAAAATGGATGACCCGATGATTAGGATTTCTTGAGGACAGTTACAGGTCCTCGAAGTGAACGCACCCATATCCTTGCAATAATCCATAAAGAACCACTTCTGTCTGAGAAGTTAACAGCAGCCTGTATGCCTTACTTACTAACTATACTGTATGTAGGGTTGTTTGTGGTTTCAAAGTTCAGTACTCCAGCTTTGCATAGAAAAAAAAACATGCAGATTGCTTTTCGCAGCTCTGCTTGTCTCCATGGTCTTGCACCGAAGTACAACGGTGACATGTTGGTGCCTTATGAGCCAAGACGGACTCTGAGGAGCACAGGGACTGTACTCCGACTGGTAAAAAACTTTTTTTTTCAGCTGTGTGACTTTTATATATTGAGCTTTTATACTTAATTCTGTTTAATTCTGACATTCACGCTGACATTTTTTTCTTTCTTTTTTACCTTGTATTTAAAAATGTTTGTAAATGTTTATGATTTTATATCTGTGTAAAGCACGTTGGGTTGCTGCATGAATTGTGAATTATAAATAAACGTAATTGATTGATTGATTCCACTGGCACAATTGCGATTGAGATTTGGACAATCACACTTCAAATTTACATTATCACACGCACAAACCCTTTTGGTTGGAATTATTGGATATTGAGTCACAGCCACTATCTTGTTCGGCGGTTGGGAACACATTGCATCAGCGAAATGAGCAGTATTATGAAAGCTTACACGCGGTTAGTTGTCGCTGTGTAACCAATTGACTGGAATTGGATTAGAGCGATTCTCGGCGGACATTTTGGAGATGCTATCGGCGCGGAGCTGCATCACTGGGAGCTCTTGTGTGATTACCCTAATGCTATCAAAGCTGTGCGCCACTTCTCTACACTCTTAATTAGTCAGACTTTAATTAACAACTGAAATGACAAAGTGTTTTATGCAGAAATGTTCGCTTCCCCCCACAGAGGATGCCTTGCGTGTTCTGCGGCGATATCCTGTTTCTTGATTGACGCGGTGCTCTGCAGGTCTGGGGCGCCCCATGGTCACGTGACCGGCATCCCGAGTGCTGGTTGGCTGTTGGCGGTCCGCAGATGGGTGTGATGGCTGTATCGTGTATCTGCTGGAGGGAAGAAATCTCATTAAAAAGTGACACTGAGATTATGAAAGCATTTTGAGCTTGCACAGCTTTACTTTGCTATTAATCTACAGACTGTCTCCTCCGCTGATGCCATGTATAAACTCAGTGTACCTTTACAGACAGGAGGTCCAGATGACGGATTAGATCTACTGTAGAGTTAAGCCCATGTCCACATTTTACCAGTGTGATATATTTGTGCTTTTATGTCTAAATATGCGTTTCATTGGTATATCTTCAGTATTTTATATTAGGCAAGGGCTGAGGATTTATTATATATTTTTTTTTTGTGATGCCTTTTACCTTATAACTTACAGATGCTGTCTCCCAGTTCTGAGGCACAGCTGGAGGGGAAAGCATGTTTGGGGTTCGATCAAACAGCACCACTGTGGTGTCTTAACTGATCTTCTTTGCTCTACAAGTGCTGGTGGTCGCTCCAGACAGCTCGCATGCCTGCTGATTGCAACACATGTCAAGGCGGAGGGTGCAAGTCTCTTTTCGACCTAGTGCGGTGAAAGTGCCTTGGAATAAGTCTCCTATCCTGTGAAAGGAGAACTGGGGCTCCTATGGGATCTTCTTGACAAGGGTAGGAGCGACTTTTATGCTACCTCTTTTCGCAACGGCCATGGTCACAGGTCACAGAGGGTTTGCGGGCTTCACTGCTCGATGTTACCCACTGGTTAAACGCTTCCTACTGGGTGCACTCAGGAACAAGCCCCCGGTCAGGAGAGCCCCTCCCACGTAAGACTTGCAGGTGATTCTGAAGGGTCTGTGCGGGCCGTCCTTTGAACCGTTGAACACAGAAATACAGTGAAGACAAAACTATGAGCCAAAACAAAACAGGACATCCATTACCGCTTTGTTTGATTCAATTGTGATCAGGGACGTGTGCATTTTTGCTGTCTAACAAATTGCCTCCTGTAGCATAATAAACGGCAGACATAAATCATTTGTCAGCACTGGTTATGACAGCAGGCGGGAGTGGATATGCTCTGATTTCTGTGCGTTTTCTTGATTACAAATGCGCTGTGTTATTGTGCATGTGTTGTGTTCTGGCTCCCCTCCTGTCGTGTGCCAGGTTGCATTAGTTTAATCGTATGGAAAAGTGCACTTTGAGACATTTCTGTTTAATTTGACTGAGTTGTATACAGTCCACCCAAAGCCGTGGGGACATTGTGGTATTTCAGTGTATAAAACAAATGGTAATGTTGGAGTTGGCGGTGAACTCAATTATGTGAGTGGCCCCCTATAATAATGCAATAGAATGAGTTTTGTAAGGTGTATTTTTGGGCAAGTCATTATCAAGTAACGTACATAAACATTGTTTAGTCTAAAAGTGTGTGAAACTTTCAGGTTAGTTGGAACCATTGTAATCCAGTTTTAATAATGCACTGTGTGTGATGTCACCGGTGTTACACCGCCTTTGAAGGATGAATTGGTTTCTAATTACTTTTTAATTACACTACTTAGTTTGTTTCAAGAAGTTTTAGTTTAATGTTCACATCCCCACACAATGCTACTGCAGATGTATGTGTGGTGTTTACCAGAAAGCACCAGTCCAGGGTTTTCCACATTAAGCAAAGTGAGAAAGTTTTGAAGTTACTAATGAGTCAAAATAAGTACTGTAATTACAAGTATTTCAAAACAAATTATTTACACTTCTAGACGGCACGGAGGCTGAGTGGATTGCATTCTCGCTTCTCAGCAAGAAGGTCCCGGTCAGATCAGGACCTCTCTGAGTGGAGTTTGCATGTTCTTCCCGTGTCTGCATAAGTTTCCTCAGGGTGCTCCGGTTTCCCCAACCTCTAAAAACATGCACAATAGGAATGAATGTAAATGAGAGAGTGTATGGGTGGTGTTGATTGGGGGCTTTGGCGTCTCACTTCCATCATCACCGTGTGTGGAATGATTGGAACTATATCTGAACATTGTGAAGCGCTATGGGTGACCTTGGTCTATGAAATGCGCTATATAAATAAACATACTTACTTACTTCTAGTCACTGTAATCATGAACATGCACAATAGTTAAAACAAAAATTCTCCTTCTCAAGAATTACTGAGGTGGAGATGGGTCCCCGGGCGCTGTAGTGTAGCGACCACACTGCTCCTGACAGAGGCCCTAATGGCATTGCAGGGTGGGTCAAATGCGGAGAACAAAATGAGACAGTAAGAAAACCTTTATCTCATGTCTGGTTCCTAGTTACCAGTATCATATTGATGCATCTTGTCCTCCACAATGTTACTTCTGGCAACATCGTCTTCACTATAACATTCATGTAAATGCTAACAATAACAACAGAAAAGATGAATGTTGGGTCTATTGTTTGTGTGATTTGACTGAAATGCTTGTCAAACCTGAACAATAATGGAAGTTGGAGTTGCGCTAACAGGCTTCCCTTTGGTGCTGTCACTATAATTAAACATGTACGTACATTCAGAGGCTGCTGCCAAAATGCACCAGTGTCATTTAACTGCCCTATTACAGAACTATTCATAATTACATCTCAATTTAGACTGCCGTATTTTCTACAACGCACAATAATTAATGTCCCAATCAACCTTGCTGGAACAAATTATATTACCTCATTTTAAAATAGCTGTCACATTTGCATAGCGATTGCAGAGAAAGAATTGTAGCTCGGGAAAATTACTAATGACGATAATTACAAACAAAAGCATGTTATCACTCATGAAACGCTTATAGTGGCAGGCTGCGCTCAAGTTTTAGAGATTCAGACGTGTTGTCCCGGGCGACTGTGTCTATGGAGTAGGGACAGGTACATTTTATTATTTACTATACAGAGATTTTGTACCTCAACACATTTAAGATCAAGGAACCTTTCACTCATAAACACACATTTATAGTCCAGTATATGCAGTGATAGAGTGTCTTAAAAATAAATACAAAATTAAAAAGAACCAAATAACATTTGCTTTTAAAAAGTGAAAGCTAAAACATATCACCATATAATTCAATGTATCTGTGTTTTTTATGCATTTTATATATTTCTAAATTGTAGTGATTAATAATTATTATTCCAAATTCATACATATCCCCTTTTTACCCTGTTTTACTGGTCTCATTTGGTCGCACCTACACCCGGTCTCCAAAATACCTTTTTAAACCTTTGATACATGCGTTATAAATTTATTATCTGTATGATACAGTTTCGACTCATAGCTTGCCACACTTATACATTTTTGGATGAAGGGTCCTCATGTGCGTGGCTTTTGAGTTGCATATACAGTATCAAACAAGAACAGTGTATTTTGTACAGCCCCGACAGCAGTCATCTCCTATAACACTTTTGATTTGCGAAAATTGCAGCGTAACCAATATTCCTAGTAGTTAATCAACTAGATGAATGTCCCAGAGCATCTCCGTCCTCAGACTCTGGGGAGAAAATTTAAAGCGAACAACCTCTGAGCAAAACCACTCCATGAACTTTAGGCTGTAGACTCCAGGACTAAGGTACATTTATTTGCAGATAGAGTTGAAGTCTGTTGAGCCAGAATAACTTGGGCTCTGGGGGTGAAGAAAGAGATCTCTTTATAATAAGACTTAGGAGCTTTTAGAATATCTTTACTGGGCCAATTTTGCTCAACTATGGAAACAAGTCGTTTGACTAAAACCTTCACCTTTTGAGGAGTCTGTGAGAGATCTGGCAGAGGTAATTATGAGACGTTTTCTGTTCAGAGAACACAGGGCTGTGGGATTATAGAGAGGGGTGAGGCAGCCAGAGAGGAGGTCAAGAAGCATTGGAGAGGGATAAATGATGCACTCAGGTGTAGCAGAAGAACTTCTTAAGCAGCTTTGCTTCATGTCGTCTGGTGAATATAAGAGCTGCAAGAAAATGACAGAGGCTTTAAATGGACACATAAGATAATGCATCTGCTGGAGCCCTTTATACAGGTATATGGTGGCATTTGTAGGTTCATCATATCTTCACCAAGGATATGTAACGCATAACTTATTTTTATTTAGTAGTTATTTAGTCATTGAACTGTATGAACTTTATTGTCATAGTCATAGTTAACTCGCAGTCATAGTTAACTTGCGATTGTAGCGGCGCATGTAGAAAGACGCAAGGCTCATTTCAGATACGTGCCAGTGGTAGAAGCCAAGAGCATGCACAAGCACGATGATATATATGCATATTTTTCATAATACATACTTGCGTTGATTGTACGATAAAAAAAAAAAAAGCCATTACAATGGCTTGCATTTAACTGACAGCACGAATTATTTTACAGAATAGAGTAAGAACCTGCAATTACAATGTGGTTAGGTTCAGGGTGGAATAACCACATATGTCTCTGGCACTAAAAGTTGACATCTATATTAATCAAAAAAAAAAAATATGGGGAAACTACATTTGTGAAATTTCTTTCCAGAACCAGAGCAGACAGCAAATAGACTCTGCAGCTCCATTATTGCATTGTTGTTTGTAATGGGAGTATCATAAAGAAATACAATAATGATACCCAACTTATGTCAAATAAGTCTTTGGGCATTAACTGAGATTGAGCACATGACCAAGTAGCATTGTGGTTTAAGGGGCTTATGCAACTTTTTATATGAAAACAATTTGTATATCATTTTACATATTTGACCTTAGCTGTAACAAGGTCCAAATCCCCACTGGGTCACTGGGTCACCAACCCCAAGAGTTATTCATCATGGTGCCTTTACTTTCCATCAAAAAACAGTCAATCTTGGAGCATTATAGACACACGGTTGAGGTACCATGATGCTCCCTCTTACAGCCACCGGGCCACTAAAAGGTTAAATACACAAAGATATGTTCACAACTATTTACTTATAGGCCACCCTTTGGCGACTCCCTCCCTGATTCAATAAAACATACACGATGAAGGAATTTCTATTGCGGACAAAGGTTTTAAATGTGGCTATTGAAAATTCAAAAGAACTTTCCTTATTTTATGCACAACTTCAAACTGTGTTGTGTAAGTGGATCTGGGTAATGGATGGACCCTTTTGTATATGTTGTAATTTAACTCTGACGAATGGCTAATGCATTCGCAAGACCTTAATTATCATCCGTCAACTTCAAGTCACTGCAGAAAAACAACAGAAACTCTGCAAACATATTGTTCCGAACCAAATGGGATTGGTGAAGGTACAATGGATTAAGTTTAAAGTAATTGCCTGAAATGCAAAGTGTGCACAAGCTCTGGTCATATATTTACTGCAGCTTTCCTCATAAAGCTTCACAGAGACCACATAATCTGATGCATTTGTCTCGCCGTCTGTGCCTGACGTAGTGTACTAATTTGTGCAAATATTTGTCAACACATGGGGGGAAAATAACTTGCATCATAGTTAATCATTTGATT